TATTAATATCATCACCATTATTATCAGTTATTATTATCATTATCATTGCTATTAATATCATCACCATTATTATCAGTTATTATCATCATTATTGTTGCAATTATGATAATCGTATCATTATCACTACCATAATCAACATCATCATTAGCAACAGAGTACCAGCTGTATCACTATTATCATGATCATCATTATAGATATTGCCCTTATTACTATTTCTATTCTTTTTATTATTATTATTAAACGGGGATCCGAGATAGAGAAAGAAGACTGTTTGAGTGAGAGAGAGAGAGAGAGAGAGAGAGAGAGAGAGAGAGAGAGAGAGAGAGAGAGAGAGAGAGAGAGAGAGAGAGAGAGAGAGAGAGAGAGAGAGAGAGAGAGAGAGAGAGAGAGAGAGAGAGAGAGAGAGAGAGAGAGATGAGAATCAGAGAGCGATCAAACCAAAAATATTCAATCAAAGACAAAGACAACACCAGTCACACTAACATAAAACCAAAGGATGGGCAAATACAAATGACAAGGAAATACAGCAAGTAAGTACATCTACTTCTCAAACTCTTCGCTATGATATCACCCACGTATCGAACGCGAGAACGTGTCAACATTATGAATCCACGGGAGCTAACAGCCTTTATGGAGGGAGGGTAGTGTTGATCAATGAAGCGAAGGGCTGGATGATATAGACTGGAAAGTGGAGCGTGTGATAAGAGGAGGGAAATACTACACGGAAAGTATGTACATACTTGTCTGTAGGGCGAGGGCGGAGGGAAGGAGAGGAGAGAGAGAGAGAGAGAGAGAGAGAGAGAGAGAGAGAGAGAGAGAGAGAGAGAGAGAAAGAGAGAGAGAGAGAGAGAGAGAGAGAGAGAGAGAGAGAGAGAGAGAGAGAGAGAGAGAGAGAGAGAGAGAGAGAGAGAGAGAGAGAGAGAGAATGAGAGAGAGAGAGAGAATGATAGATTGATAGAGACAGATAGATGGATAGATAGATAGGTAGATAGATTGATAGATAGATAGATAGATAGAGAGAGAGAGAGTGAGAGAGAAAGAGACAGAACGATAGATAGACAGACAGAGAGAGATATAGAAAGAAAGAGAGAGGGAAAGAAGAGAAGAGAAAAGAAAAGAGAAGAGAGGAAAATGGAAAGGCTAGAAAATGAAAGAGAGAGGGAGGACGTAAAAAAAAAGGAGGGAAGGAGAGAGGAGACTGAGAAAAGGAGAGAGATAGAGGCGTAGGGAGAGAAAGAAATAGAAGGAGAAAGAGAGAGGGGGTGGGAGAGAGAGTGGTAATTGGAGTGAGGGAAGGTGAGAAAAAGTATCTAACACACTGCCTTCTTCACGATTACTCCTCATTACTGGTGTCTACCCATTTCCCCTTCTCCTCTTTCCTCTACTTCCCAATTATTTACCCCCTCCCTCATTATCCTCATTCCCTTGCTTTATCCTCGACTTTTCCCTTCCCACAATCGTTTTTTTTTCACCTACTACTACTACCGGTAGTTCCCCTGCTGCCTCTCCTTCGTCATCATCATCTACCTTTTCTTTCTGTTCTTCCTCTCCTTCTTCTTTCTATTCTTCCTCTTCCTCTTCTCTTTTATTCTCCCTCTCCCTCTTCTTTCTATTCTCTTTCTCTCTCTTTCTTTCTTTCCTCCTCCCTTCTTCCTTTCTCTTCTCTTTTCCTTCCTCTTCTTTCTTTCTTTCTCCCTTCTTTCTTCTTTCTTTTCCCCCTTATTTACTTTCTTCCCTCCTCTTATTTCTATTCTCCTCTCTCTCTTCTTTTCTGTTGTTCCTCTCCCTCCCTCTTCTTTTCTTCCCCTCTCTCTTTCTATTCTTCTTCCCCTCCTTTCATCTCCTCTCCTCCCCTTTCTTCTTCCCCTCCCTCTTATTTCATTTTTTCTCCCCCTCCTCTCTCCTTTCTATTTTTCCCCTCCTTTCTTCTTTCTTTCTCCCTCCCCCTTTCCTATCTTCCTCCCCTCCCTTTCTATTTTCCCCCCTTTCTATTCTTCCTCTCCCTCTCCTTTCTATTCTTCCTCTCCCTCTCCTTTCTATTCTTCCTCTCCCTCTCCTTTCTATTCTTCCTCTCCCTCTCCTTTCTATTCTTCCTCTCCCTCTCCTTTCTATTCTTCCTCTCCCTCTCCTTTCTATTCTTTCCCACCCCCCCTTCTTTCTACTCTTCCTCTCCCTCTTCTTTCTATTCTTTCCCACCCCCCATTCTTTCTACTCTTCACCCTCCTCCACCTCCACCTCCTGCACCTCCCTCCACCCACTCTTCCTCCCTCCCTTTCCCACCGAGGACAAACAATTAACATCATATTTACAGCCTTCCGTCTTCGGAGATTGGCCAGAGAAAAACAAGCAGGTAACGCGAGGTGTGAGGTCATGTAAGGTCAGGTCAGTGATTGGAGGTTCTGCCAATACATCCCAAAAGACATCGCCTGCTTATCTGATTTTTTTTTCTTTTCTTTTCTTTTCTTTTCTTTTGTCCTCTTCGTTTTCGTCTTCCTTTCCTTTTGGGGCACAAGACTTATTTTCGTCAATATTATTATTATTATCGTCGTTATTCACTATTATTGATGTTGTTATTATCAACATTATTATTATTATCATCATCATCATCATCCTCACCATATTATTAATATTATTACTATTACTACTACTGTTATTATTATTGTTATTATTATTATCATTATTATTATTATTATTATTATTATTATTATTATTATTATTATTATAATTATTATTATTATTATTATTATTAACATTGCTGTTGTTACTCTTACTACTATTGTTATTATTGTTAACATTATCATTATCATTATTATTACTATTATCAATATTATCATTATTAACACTATTATTATCATTATTACTATTATCACCATTATCATTATCATACGTAATTTTCAGTACCGTTGCTATTATTACTTCTATTAGCACTATTAATAATACTGTTATCATCATCATCATTATTATTTTCATTTTATCATCATTATCACAATTATTCTAACTATTGATACTAATACTATTACTATTCTTATCATTGATATTATCATTATTATCATCGTCATTATAACTGTCTTTACCATATTTACCCTCATTAATACTGTTATCATGAACATTATGATTATCATCCTCATTGTCACTATAATCACTATAATCGTCAGCATTCACCAATATTTCTTACAAAAAAACGGATGTTAGTGAGATAGTGAAATATGGGTAGACAATCCCGTAGAATTTAGATAGCGAAACGATAGCATCTGAAAAATATTATTCTTATCGCGTGTCATATCTGTACGCACCGTGGTGTGTGTGTGTGTGTGTGTGTGTGTGTGTGTGTGTGTGTGTGTGTGTGTGTGTGTGTGTGTGTGTGTGTGTGTGTGTGTGTGTGTGTCTGCGTGCGTGCGGGCGGGCGTGTGTGTGTGTGTGTGTTTTTCGGTATTCCTTCTGTGTATCGTCTATATGTATATGAATATACATTTGTATCTTCATGCTGTCAAACCCCATAAGCAATCTCAATTCCTTGCTCTAACGCCGAGTCATTAACAAGTCCGCCTTTAGACTGTGAAAACATGCATTTACCAAGCAACAATGAGTCGCCATTCAACGGCAGAGGACATCGTCAAGAACCTGTCATGTTTTGTCACGAGTGGGAAGCACGAAGGCCAAGGCAAGCCGGAGTGATTTAAGGGCCAGAGGGTGTAAGGAAAGAGGGAGGCAGAGTGCGAGTTGTTGCTAGAGTCTGGAGAGTCGTTGGGAAAAGGGGCTGGGGAGGTAGAGAGAGGGGGGAGGGGAGGCCCCAAGGTAGAAGTTCTTTTGTAACAATGTCAGAGAGAGTGAGATGTGCCCCTCCATCCCCTCCCCACTCTCACACGTTGGATATAATGGGATAAAAGGGTGTTCTGGAATGGGTTAGCGTGAGAAAGAGTGGGCTTGAGGGAGGGGAGACGAAGTACAAATCATTAACCACTTATGAGGTGATTAACGATGAATCTGTCTCGTTAATCTAATATAGCCACGGCGACGAGGAGTAGGATAAGCCCTCTGAATAGCGAAAAGATTATGCCCGTGGTAAGTAATGACCATAGCACATAATGCATAATACACTGCCACAAGTGAAAGAAACATGACGCGCACCTAATTAAATGAGGAACCATATCAATCATGATGTATTCTGAATCCAACTCGAAAAGGGAATCATATGTAAAGGAGTGATATAGTAATGGGAAGAGTTCATAGAATTTGGTCAGTAGAAAAGAAAAGAAAAGGAAAATAATCAAACCTGTCATACGAGAAGACATTGAAAGATATTGAAGCCACATGTCTAGATTAAGCACGGTCGAGTGGTCTTAACCAAGGGGGATTTGCTAGGTTCAGTGTAAAGGAGAGAATTATGCTACGTGCCTATAGCAACACGTAAATTGTAACCCTTTCGGAGGAGATATGATTGGAAACGCTTGCAATATAGGAGAGTAATTTACATTTATACGCAGAATAATGAACGTGAGATTATGGCATTCAAGCAAGGGAAGAGAACGTTATAATCTATATCCGTAGCATAGAGTCCGTGCTCATTGGTAAAAAATGGCATATATTTCTCCAGAGAGATGTAGATCCATACATCACAGTAGATAAAAGGGGTGCACATCTTTCCACGGCCCAAGACATCTAAAACACATACCTACAGTAGAAGAGCAGTACAGTACACCCAAATTTAGAAAATGGAGGGGAGGATGAACAATGTCTAGTCTCTTCCCTTCACCTCACTTCTTTTTCTCATCCCCTCACTTCCATTTATCTTTGTTTCATCTTCCCCTTCCTTTCCCTCAGCGTGCCCTCCCTTCCCCCGCCCCAAAAGATCCGCCTTCACTTACCCACAGTCGTGAGGAGCATGTTATCCAGGAGCAGAGCTATGGCGACGATAAAGAGAATCAACTTTCGTGATTCTCGACAGTTGTTCAGCCATTCCTTGACCGCCCCCATGGCGCCTGCCTCCTAAACCCACCGCGCTGTTGAAGAGAAAAAGAAGAAAAGTTATCATCCTTCCGGAATTATCGCCGGAATCATTTCGACTCCATCCTTTCCAGTTATAATCAGAAGTGGTGTTACCATCATTTTTATATTCATTGCCTTTACTGTTTACATCGTATTTGTTAAGATCAAGATACGTTACTAATTATAAATTGTCCTTTTCGTCGAAATGATAATTGGTTGTTATAATACATTTTCATCATAGCTTCATAACCAAATTGCTAGCCAGCAATTTGGCTAGAAGATAGCATCATTATATAAGTAATAATTTTAAAGGAAATATTGTTGCAGTAACAAACATTGTTGGATAATAAAAAGGTGAAGGAAAGAATGTTGGTGAATAAAACAAAGATCTGAAGAAGTAGTAATTCTGTTAACATCTAGAAACTTAATTAATCGCCATAAACTATAATTTTTTTGGCTTGGGCAGAAATATAAAGGTGAATTTCAAGTACTGCCTAAATGAAACCATTCATATACTCTATACCTTTCTGATCTACATAGCTGTATTATTTTCAGCGAAATTATAGTAATTAACCTGGAATACATATTATATGTACATTTCTCTATGGTTGTAATTTCACATGAAGACCTTTCCTTTTACCTAACATTGCCTCGTATTTGAACGCAATGTTAAAAGTTTAGTTACATTTTCACCCATCCCTCCTGAATGATAATTATTATGATGAACGACATTAAACTAATATAAACGAGGACACTGAACAGAAGAATAAACTTGACTCAAGCGCCACTGCCAGATAGAATGACTGACTGAAAGTGTCTAAAAGACCTTTTATTTCTCACGCGTGAATCTCACTCCTCTCCCGACAGGGGATGCTCAGCGGGGGCACCGACGCGGGAACTCTATAAATTGGGTTTATTACGGGGTATCAATAGATCCCGGCGGGGCGTCCTCATTACCAGAGCGCCGCGCCCTCCCTCCACCGCCGCGCTGGTTACACTGCCGTCACGAACACGCACGACTGATCCCTCGTTCTCCGTGATCATCCTTTTGCACGGGATCACAAAATGACTCGGGCTACAAGCCTAATCTAGGTAACAAGAAGAAAGAGGAGGCGAGGAGGAGAGAAATAAGGGGATGACGGAGAAGGAGAGAGAGGAGGGAAATCGGTATGGGCTGCAGTGAGGATGAGAAATGGATGGAGATTGGGGAACGAAAAGGAAAAAGATCAGAAGACTAGAGAAAGAGATTGGGTGGCGGGATGCAAATCAAAGAGAAGAGAGAGGTGGAAGTGAAGTTGAGTGTTGTAGATAGTTAAGAAAAAAATAGATTTCAAGATCTGAAGAAAAAAAAATGAGACAAGAGGCAGCAGAAAATCGGAGAATATGAAAAAGAACGAAAGAGAGGTATAAGACAAAGCTGTCATGTCAAAAGATTAAGAAAGAGGAAAAACAGAAATGAGTAATAACATATAAAACAATAAACTGATAAACAGAAACACTAGACGGTCTGGCATTCATAAGAAAAGCTCCACTATAAATGATATATTGGAAATTATATAATCGAAAATAATACTTTATATGCATGTGTTTGAGGTTGGATATCAATATGGTTTTATGCTTACATGCACATAAGAAAAGAAGAGAAAAAAAACATACTGTACATCCAAAGACAGGCAAAATTTACGAAATAGTGATAGCATGGCAGATTTCGAAAAAAAAATAAGAGTGAGAGGGAAAATGGAAGGAACACACTATGTCAACACACAGAGAGGCTATACAAATCAAGTTTCCAATTTACAGGAACAGAAGAGTGAGCGAGCAAATTAAACCCGTCAACAGAAGCGACATTTTTGACAACGACGGCACCTCCCCGGCCAATCTATGGTGAAGCCACGCCATCACACATCATATATATAGGCCTATCGAGGACCCATTTGTGTCAACTTTTTTATGGCACCAAGCAAACGAGCAAGAGAGAGACGGGCAGACAGACAGACAGAGATGTGTGCGTCTTTCTCTTTGTCTATCTATCTTGCTGTGTATAATTTTATGTGTATGTATGTACACTGTGTGCGAGTGTGTGTGTGTGTGTGTGTGTGTGTGTGTGTGTGTGTGTGTGTATGTGTATGTGTATGTGTGTGTGTGTGTGTGGATATGTATATATATATACATATAGATAGATAGATGTCTATATGTATGTCTGTCCGTCCATCTATTTACTTATATATACACACTTGCATAATGGAATTTGATTGTACTTTCCACTCGTACATTCCTTTCTCTCTCTCTCTCTTCCAATATTCTCTCTCTGTATATTTGTCTGTCTGTCTATCTATCTATTTACCTATTTATCTATCTCTATCCATCTCTCTCTCTCTCTCTCTCTCTCTCTCTCTCTCTCTCTCTCTCTCTCTCTCTCTCTCTCTCTCTCTCTCTCTCTCTCTCTCTCTCTCTCTCTCCCTAGATAGATAGATAGATAGACAGATAGATAGATCACCCTGTCTATCTATATTTCTATCAATTTGTTTGTCTATCTGTCTATCTGTCTATCTGTCTATCTCTCTCCCCTTTCTTTGAAGTATGTTGTAAAGATTGCTAAAATTTGTCAGAAGAATCATTCCTCTGTACATACAAATATCAGTTAATTTATGTTTAAAAAAGAAACACAAACACCAAATTCATTTATGATCGAAAAATAAACATGAATACCAAGAATATTTATGCAAAAAAAACTGGATTATCCATATTTAGATTATTGAATTATTCCATTATCCATATTAAACATGCAATGCTAATAACAGCAAATACATGACTGCAACTTTTCGATTCAAGGTTAGAATATATGCTATTTCTTTGTCTATACCGAAGTAACATATATAAAATTGTCATATTCAATGTAAACATAGCCGGTAAATATAAAGTTTGTAATTTCACGGAACCTCTTTGAAAAAATATTTTACATCACATATACTAAGACATTTAAGTGTCGTGAGGCGTTGTCAGTATTACACAAATATTACTTGTATGTTACTCTTATTATACACTATATTATATCAACACGATGCATAAGATCTCATCATATAATATAAATTACAACAAAGTAATGCATCAAAACAATTTCCCTCGAATTGCCCAAAGATAACACTGTGAAGTTCTTCCCTCCGACTTGTGTCCACTAACGCCATCTAGGTAGGGTTAACGCAACGCATTTACCTAAAATAAGGAATAACACAGATAGTTTTTCTCTGATATTTTCCAGCTTACAGATGCGCGAACACACACATTAATGTATATAAGAATATATATATATATATATATATATATATATATATATAGAGAGAGAGAGAGAGAGAGAGAGAGAGAGAGAAAGAGAGAGAGAGAGAGAGAGAGAGAGAGAGAGAGAGAGAGAGATAGATAGATAGATAGATAGATAGATAGATATAGATAGATATATATGAATACAGTCAGATGAATAAACAAACATATTAAAAAGAAAAGACCCCAAAAATCTATTTCTGCGGATCAGAAGATTATATCTCTCGCTCCTGACAGATCTCAAGGGAACGTATCTATAGCGGATCCACTTTTCCGCGATAGAGCAGACGGGCGTGAATGAGTCCAAGAAGCCGTAAGTCTTAAGATTGGTTTCCCTCCGTTTTCTTCCCACACTTTTTTCGACACTTTCGTCTCAAGTGAAGCCTCAATGGTAGTCTGGCTTATATACTTATATATATATATATATATATATATATATATATATATATATATATATATATATATATATATATATATATATATATATATAAATATATATATATATATATATATATATATATATATATATATATATATATATATATATATATTTATATATATATATATATGTATATATATATATATATATACATATATATATATATATATATATATATATATGCGCGCGCGCGCGCGCGCGCGCGTGTGTGTGTGTGTGTGTGTGTGTGTGTGTGTGTGTGTGTGTGTGTGTGTGTGTGTGTGTGTGCGTGTGTGTGTGTATGTGTGTGTGTGTGTGTGTGTGTGTGTGTGTGTGTGTGTGTGTGCGTGTGTGTGTGTGTGTGTGTGTGTGTATGTGTGTGTGTGTGTATGTGTATGTGTGTGTGATATGATGTGACGTGATATGAAATTATGTGTATGTGTGTGTTTACGATTATAAGTTTACGAGTCTATGTGTGCAAGTATTTAAGCATATATATGTATTTGCATCTGTTTATCTCTCTGTCTGTACTGAGGACTGAGAACAGACACATCTAGCGCTCCATTTCTATATCCTTTTGTGCACTGAGCTTAATCCAAGCAAACACTTAAAGCAAGTAATCTCCCCATTCAGTCTTCAAACAATTCAATTTAGTCCAATATTCAACCTCCCCCCCCAAAAAAAAGAAAAGAAAAGAAAAAAAAAACTTCCGCCCGTTCCCATTAATCTGCTGAGTTGATTCTCCTTTCTACGCGGCCAAACCATACCACCTGTTGGCGCTCGACCTCAAACCACCTGTTACTGGAAGTCTGCATTTGGCTAAATATTCATAGGATGATCTTGTGTATTTTGTATGAGTATAAGTATGCGTGTGTGTGTTTATATGTGCGTGTGTGTGTGTGTGTGTGTGTGTGTGTGTGTGTGTGTGTGTGTGTGTGTGTGTGTGTGTGTGTGTGTGTGTGTGTGTGTGCAGAAGTGTAAATAAGCACTAGGTATTAGGTAGGTAGATAGCATTATGCGTAGGCTAATGGTGTGTATGAGAGAGAGAGAGAGAGAGAGAGAGAGAGAGAGAGAGAGAGAGAGAGAGAGAGAGAGAGAGAGAGAGAGAGAGAGAGAATGAGAGAGAGAGAGAGACAGAGACAGAGACAGAGACAAAAAGAGAGAGAGAGATAGAGGGAGGCACTATGAAAAGGTATAACCAAAACGCCATCCAGAAAACATAGCAAGCGTCCCTCCTCGACCCGGGGCGCAGAGGCCATCCCGCGGGAGTCCGTGAGCTGA